CTAGGGTTCTGATGGGGCTGTAACAAGAAACTGCAAATGAGAACAATATCAGTATTTGCCCATCCTAACTCTCAGGGCAAGTACTGGAACCTCATGTGAGGTCATGGATCATGGCTTTGAACCACATGTTGGGCAAAAGAATTCCTGCATTGCAGAGGGTTGGACTAGATAACCCACGTGGTCCCTTCCAACTCTACAATTTTAAGACTCTATGATTAGAATACATGTTGCCATTTAAAGAGGGAAGGGGACTTAACTGGTTACCTGATCCTTCAACAGTTAAAAGTTTTACTGGGGATTTAAGGTAGTGCTGGGGCAATCTGTATGCACAAATAGCTGCTGTACCACTGAGCTGAGGCTCTTTCTCCTTGTAATCTTATGTAAATTTGCCCCAAAGTAAGCCTCACTAAGTTAAAAGAAATTCACTTTTAATGGTCTTATCCTTATTGCTATTGCAGTCTGATCCTTAACTGAACATTCCCTCCCTAATACACACACATCCTTTTAACCTTTTAGTCAGCAATTAACCCCACTAATTACTAATTAAGAAAACCAATTCATCAAAGATATCATATTTAAGATTTGTGGCCAGTAGTAGCATCAGTAAATCCAAATTATCTGTTAACATTTTAATCATTGGGGGGTGGGGGCTAAAAAAAACCCCCAAACAAACCACACAGACTGCAGAATGCAATTCAAAACTTCATCCACTGTCACAAAGACAAATCTAAACTAACTTGAAGTGCTCATAATAAAAGTCACTTTAAGAAGAATTATGAACTCCAAAAGGACAAGTCGCGGTCTTCCGATTCTGCTAGTGTGTCTAAAAAATTACAGAAAGAATAATGTTCTCTGGTTACTGTTGCAAGCCTTGAGAATTTAGCACTTTGGCAGCCACTCTGGGAAATAACCCAGAATATCAGGTAATTTGGCACAGATTTGAGGGTGATGATAATAAACATTTTATCACTTATGAGAAGACTTCTTGTACATCAATGAAAGCCAAGCATCAGAAAGAATTAGATGCAGACTGTCAGCCAGCCAGCATCTCCTACATATTCCAGCAAATCACTTTTGAACTGTCCAAGTTTTGATGCAAGATGTGCATCATCATATGTCGTGTCCAGCATAATATTAATAACATTTAGTATTTATATTCGTTCTGCACAATGTATGGTTGCCATATTTCAAAAAGTGAAAATCCAGGCACAAATTGCCCCAAAATCAACATTTCCGATATGGGCTTCCATATGCCCAGGTTTTCCAGGACATTTTTAACCTACTTTGGGAGAGCTTTCAAAGGTGTAGGGCAGGCTTCCTCAACCTTGGCCCTCCAGATGTTTTGAGACTACAATTCCCATCATCCCTGACCACTGGTCCTGCTAGCTAGGGATCATGGGAGTTGTAGGCCAAAAACATCTGGAGGGCTGAGGTTGAGGAAGCCTAGTGTAGGGAGAGTGTGCTTTGCCTGTTTGTGATTTTGGCTTTATGTGCTATCCCTGCTCCTTCAAACACAACTGCATTGAAATAGGTTTTTAATTGTTCAATTTGTTGTTGTTTTCTGCCCTGGGTGTCCGGGGGTGGGGAGCAGGTAACATAAAGGTAAAGGTAAAGGTAAAGGTACTCTTGCCCGTATGGGCCAGTCGTGTCCGACTCTAGGGTTGTGCGCCCATCTCACTTAAGAGGCCAGGGGCCAGCGCTGTCCGAAGACACTTCCGGGTCACGTGGCCAGCGTGACGAAGCTGCTCTGGCGAGCCAGCACCAGCGCAGCACACGGAAACGCCATTTACCTTCCCACTATAAAGCGGTACCTATTTATCTACTTGCACTTAATTGTGCTTTCGAACTGCTAGGTGGGCAGGAGCTGGGACCGAAAGACGGGAGCTCACCCCGCCGCGGGGATTCGAACCGCCGACCATACGATCGGCAAGTCCTAGGCACTGAGGTTTTACTCACAGCGCCACCCGCATCCCTCAGGTAACATAAATTTAATTAATAAATAGTTAAATAAATAAGTTCATCAGTTCCTGCAACATTAAATCCCAAACATTCCCCCCTTAATGCTACATAAATATGTATCCAAACCAGGAAAATGCATGTAAATACCAGCAGCTTCTGAAACGTCAACATATTGTATCTTGCTTCTAAAGAGATCTTTTTGAAAGTGCAGCTTCCCCACTACTGCCATTTTTTCATGGATTATGCTCAAGAATAAGATGCTTTAAATTACCCAATGACAGCTTTGAGTGTCGTTAATCAGATAGATGCTCTTTGACGTATGGATAATGCAGGAAATCTGCAAAGATGCAGTTGTTGCTGCTGCCACTGAACTAGTTAATTAATCCAGCAATAAACACAAACTTCATGTGGCTGCTTGAGATCATGGAAAATTTATTCCATGACCTATTTTAGATGGAAATCTCATTGGAGGTTGAGAAGATCTCATAAGAGGGCAAATCTATCTGAAATCCATGAGAAACATTTTAGATTTGGACGCAGTTTCATGTATTTGTTTAGTCTACTTAGTTTATTTTACCTAAAAGCTTGATGTGTTAGATCAATGGTTCAGCTAGCTCAGTGGTATCCAACACTAAGTCAAAGAACCAGTAGCTTTGCCGCATTGGAGGCAGGCAGGTCTGACTTTTCCCCACAACCCTTTGCCACAACCCATGAAAATCAGCTTGCATACCAAGTGACTGGGAAATGGCCAATGTAAGAACAATGTCAGATAGTCTTTCCTGCCTAGGAATGCCATGAAAATCCCACTGCTTATGATACAGCCTGTTGATAACAGCAGCCAAACCAAGTTTTGCAGAACAATACTCAGCATGTATTTTGGCCAAATGGCCCATCCAACAGCAGAGTGACAAGGAAAAAGGATGGTATTTTAGTTTTGTAAGCTACCCTGAAATCATAATTGGTAAAGAGGGTGATATATAAAGTTCAAATGAATGAATGGATAAGAAAATTGGAGAACCCAACACATTATTTGTGTTGCCATCATCTTAAATATTCCACCTTTCCTTCTCGTTATACATCACATTAGGAGAACTGTGTTAAAAAGTGGGGGAGGAGGCTAATTCACGAACTAAATTACAGCAAGGGCATTCATCCAACCCATGAAAATTGCCTTGTATACAAGATGACTGGAAAATAGCCAATGTAAGAACAATGTCAGAAATTTAAAAAGGAAAAAAAATGTGAGGGAAGTGAGCATGTATTAAGTGACCACAGGAGTATCCTGGCAGAAATGTGTATGTTGTAATGGGGCAGGGTGAAAATGAGGTCAGGGACATGCTGGATTAGCCCTAACTCTGACCTCACCACTGCCCTGCCCCACCCCACGAAATACTTCTGAGTTACAGCATATCAGTATTCTTACCCTCATTCCTTTGTGTGCAAAAGGAATACCATACTTCTGAATCATAACTGTTTAGTTTCACTTTTTGTCTTGATTGCAAGTATTGACTGCAAGTGATCTATATTGATTGCAAGTATTTTAAGGTAATGTACCAAAAACTGAGCAATGTATTCAAGGTGTAGTGTGACCATCACTTTACACGTGGACATACTATTTCTGCTAGTATTCACATTTCTGTAACTAGAACATGGAGTTATATATTTGGGGTGGCAGCATTTATACATCTCTGCTGATGAAAAAGTAAAATCCAGATACTTTAATCCAACTGGCTCATTTAGTCTCCTCGAGTCCTTAAGTCTATCCTGAACAGAGGCAGCAAAATCCTTTCACCGGGGTACACTTTCCTCCGTAACAACCTGTTTCTTAAATCCACCAAATGTTTCAGCTTATCTGAGCTAGCAGAAGACTAGCTTTCATTTTCTTACCATCTGGAGTGTTCTGTTTTGAGATGATGTATTTTGCTATGGCAAAGCAGGTTCCGTGCATGACTCTCAAGTTGTGCTGCAGAGAACCCTGGGATTCTTTGGCAATGTATCAAGATTCTCAGTGAGGAGATCAGTAGCAGCAGATAAACTCACATGGGAAACAGCTTGTACTCAAGGCAGTGACGGAGCCCATAAGCAGTACTAGGTGATGGGGTGGGGCTCCAGCATGTCACTATGACATACCAGGGTGGAGGGTTGAGGCAGCAGTGAGGTCACTATGATGAAAACACACCAGCAGAACCAAGCCAGCGCTCCCACAGGTGCATTTGCTGACCTTGCTGACACCTTACATCCCTCCCTCTCTGTATGCAACAGGAATGTGGGCAACTGGATTTCAGACATCTACTGCCAAAACCTATGGATGGACATTCTAAAATGTGGCCATGAATTTTCCACCACATACTAGTATTTCAATAAAAGGCATGTGCAGGGGTTCCACAGCAGACTCATCATTGTGGAAAAGGTTCCCAAGAGGTATGTTTGAAAACCACTGATTTATCTCAAATAGTGTGGGAATATCTTCAAATGTAAGTGGGGAGCCTTTGAACATATATCAATAGACTGGACTTCTCTAGGCTTCCAAGCCCATTGCATTAAAACAGGTTTCGTGTCTCTTCAGAGCTAATAACCTTTGATCCCTCAAGCTGAGACCTCTTCACGTTGTCCCATCTGATTAAAAAAAAAAAATGTGTAAAACTATTTGAAAGACATAGAAGAATTGTCTGACATAAAGTTTATATCTAAGAACTTGCTTGGTTTAAAAGCACTCTTCGCTGTGAAGAGATAAGGACTCAATATGCTAAAAACATTGCTTTGTACTATCTCACCATAGCACATGATTTTAACAGTGGGCGCACCAGAAACTTGATACAATTTTACTGTTATATCTTTCTCCAACAGAGCATTAATGCCATTTAGCTTTCAGACTCATAAGTGCTTTGTTCCTGAAAACCTCTATGTAAGTTGAGAAGAGAGAAATGAAGAAACCATAGGAATGGAATTGTGAAGGTTTGAATAATGTTAAAGGATAAAGCTTCATTCAATATAGTATTTAAAATAAATTCCCATTTTGTGCAGCGTGGTTTGTCACCTACCTGACTCTCTGGAAATTTGTATAAAAGATTCCATGCCTTTTTCTCCATAACTTCCTTCAGAAGCCAATGTGGAGACATAATTCCACCCCAAAGCTCTCACGATGTCCACCATCGCCTGCGCTTGGAAGGAATCTGGAGGTACCACCCGTGAGAAGAAATCATAGCGCCTGTCATCACTTAGCTCTGGTGCAGTTGAAGCATAACTGATTTGGGGTATCTGTAGGGAATAGAACAATTATTTGGAGTTATAAATTGATAAACTCAACACACGCACAACAATTAGCTTGAGCTATAACACAATTAGTCTTCCCAGTGCCCATCTGTTACTTTCTATCTCCGTCAGTGCCTAAGTGAAAGTCAATGAAGCCATCTTTCAAATGATTTTCATTATGTGAATACTAAAAGGCCAATTAAACTATTATCAGTTTTGTCCCCAAAAAACTTCCATGAACCTCTTTGATGAAGGATAAGTTAGCATACTTTGAGATAAGCCTTGGGTAAGCTTGGTAAACTTTATGATGCATGATTTGTCAACAATATTTCACCATCTTTAGGTTTCTTGAGTATTTTCCTGTTTACACTTAGCTCTGCTAGTCTGAATACTGCCTACTAGAGCCTTAGTTCCCACCAATTTGTGATCATCTCTGTTACTTTGGCTCTCATCAATCTCAGTCATTGTTGTTGTTTAGTCGTTTAGTCGTGTCCGACTCTTCGTGACCCCATGGACCAGAGCATGCCAGGCACGTCTGTCTTCCACTGTCTCCCGCAGTTTGGTCAGACTCATGTTTGTAGCTTCTCAGTCATAACCATTGCCAATTTTTGAGAAAATCCAGTCAACCAGCCATTAAAAACATAAGAGCTTGATGGATCAGGCTAAGCCTATCTAATCCAGCATCCTGTTCTCACAAAACTGGCAAGTAGGACCTGAGCGTAAGATCCACTGGAATCTCAAGTAGGAAGCCCTCCCTAAAATTCAGGGATTATGTGCATCAGCTGTTCCACGGGACATAATGGAGCAGTGTAGAGCACGGGAAATCCAATTCCCAATCAGCAAAATTCCTAGTCAGACCACCTCTGCCTTCTGAAATTTCACCAGGGCTGCCTATGTATGTTCTGATTTACCAGTAACTATTCAGACACGAGGCATAGGCAGGATTTACCTAACCAGCCCCACCAGTGGAAACCCCACATAATGACTTCCACTTACATAGCTGGGCTTTTCCTTATCTCCTTCTCTCATGCCTCCTGATTTTGGTTTGGGGGAGGCATTGGAAGAACCCCCAAAACAGGGCAGAGGAGGAGGAGGAGGAGGAGGAGGAGGAGGAGGAAGATCATAGCATCCAGCAAGGTGAAATGCTTGCAAAGACAAAATGATTGGAAGAGTGCAGGGTTGAATAGCACCTATTGATACTAAATTTCATTCTTGTATGTGCAATCATGGCCATACTCAAAACCACACAGCACTGCCAAATCCCATTGATAATGATATGTAACCATTTGACAACATCTTTCTGTTGGAAGCGTTACACTGTTCATTGACATATCTGTTTGGTTTAACAGATTATTTAATCATTATTTTCAGTAAGGTCACCAAACAGAAAGAACCTGCTGCATCAGCCTCTCCTTGCTATTGTAAATTATTCACCAAAAAAGTGCTCAAATTTTCAGGCAAGGTTATAGAAGCATTTCTTACATTTTAAAGAGAAATCTATCCCTCATTACCTTTCCTATCCTTACTTGCCTTTCTGCTAGGATTGCATTTTTTAAAGAATTTGTTGCTCATTTTAAACAGGTCCCTGTCAAGTCAGTAAGTGTCTCAAGCAGGGAACTGAAATTTTTAAGGGGCTTGATCACCCTGAGCATACCTTCTTGCAAGAATTTGAGGAGGACCGGTACTATCTTCAACATACAGGTTTACCATCACAGTTTCAAAATAAAATCAGGTATACGTACTACCACATATTTTATAACACTTATGCAATATTACAAATATTACAAAAGTGAAAATATGATGATAGTGTGGAGAGTGTGTTTATGAATTCAACAGTGATTAGTTTATTTCCTAGTTCATATTTTGTTAATGTTGTTAATACTGGTTTTTATATAATTTTTTGTATTATGAGCAGGTTTGCTGGGAGACTGAACATGAGGACCAAGCCACTTCAATTTGTAAAGCATCAACTGGCACTGCAGCACAGAAACCCAGCAAAAGACTTTTCTATCATCTATCTATATCTATCATCTATCTATCATCTATCTATCTATCTATCTATCTATCTATCTATCTATCATCTATCTATCATTAAATTTCTATACTGACCTTCATCTAAGGATCACAAGGCAATTTACAAAGTAAAAACACAAAAATACATAACAAAAACAGCAAACCCAAACACAATTAAACCATAGATGGTTTAATTAGCCAAAGGCCTGGGAGGAATGCTTTTGCCTGGCACCAAACTATATGTAATCAAGGCGCCAGGCAAGCCTCCTTAGGGAGAGAATTCCACAGGTGAGGAACCACTGCAGAAAAGGCCTGTTCTTGTGTTGCCATCCTCCAGACCTCTCATGGATGAGACACATGAAGAAGGGCCTCAGATGATGAATGCAGAGTCCAGGTCAATTTATATGGGGAGAGGCGGTCTTTGAGGTATTAAGGTCCTGAGCCTAATACTGCCTCCGTCCATTACCGAGGCAAGACAACAATCCAGCACATCCACTGCCACACCTGCAGATGCAAAGGAGCAGAAGAACTGTGTGTCATCAGCATATTGCTGATGTCGTTTTCTGAAACTCTGGAAGATCCCACCTCAGCCGTTTAGTGTAGATTTTAAACAACATGGGAGATGAAATCAAACCCTGAGGATCCCCTCGTTGAAGGCTCCAGGGGCCAAAGAGCATTACCCACTGGAAACTACCATCCAAATAAGACTGGAATCACCACAAAGCAGTACCACCCACCTCTAATTCAGACAGCCACTCCAAAAGGTTGCTATCAAAAGCTACTGAAAGGTTGAGTAGAATTAAAAAGGACTCCTTTCCCTGTCTCTCCACTAACATAGGTCATCATGCATGGTGACTAAAGCTGGCTTAAGAGATCCCAAGGTTAGGAGAGCTTGTCAGCACCCCTCCTGACAAATGGCCTTGTGAACAGCATCACTTGGTGGCAAGTTTGGAGCATTATCTCCAAATATAACAATATTCAGAACACCCTCAGTCATTAGGTGGACTGTGGCAGCTGCCTCTGGCAGCCCTGCAGGCCAGCAGAGAAGCGGCGGCAGTGGCAGCAAGTATGATGGCAGTGGCAGTGGCAGGGCAAGGCTGCACTTCCTGTTTCACCTCAAGTGGCAAAAAGGGACATGGCACCCCTGATCCTTTTTCATTTATTTAATGCATTTATAATCCACATGTTCAGAAAGATATACCAATATATAAGAACAAAACCAAGATATCATAAAAACACCACACTGCCAACTCTGAGATGCCTGGATCTGTAAGTCAAGCTATCCCTTTAGCTTGGAGGGCTTATTTGGCCTGGTTAGTGGACTATGCTGATGGACTGTTTTCCAGCAGGTTAAATAACCGGAAAGAGAAATCTATAACAACACACAGGGCATTAAAGAAAGGAATGGGCTCCTTTGACGGGCCTCCTGGCTTTAACATGTCCCTACCATCTTGCCTACCATGCAAGATGGGGTGGAGTGGGGTGTCAACAGTTAGCAATAAAAAAAATGTATGTGTTCATAAGCAGTCATTATTTGTAACCCATCCTGGGACCTTATGGTAAGGGGTGGGTAAGGAATCTAATGGGTGAGAAATCTAAAAAGGAATTAAATAAAGCCCTGGCTTCTTAAAATTCTTTGTTTCCTTTTTAAATGAGTGAGTTGCCGAATGATACACAGGGCTTTAAATCTGATTGTGTGTGTGTTTAACTCTTGAGAAACATAATCCAGATGTCAGCTTCATTCCACATTTTCTCATATATATACAGTGGTACCTTGGGTTACAGACGCTTCAGGTTACAGACGCTTCAGGTTACAGACTCTGTTAACCCAGAAATAGTACCTCGGGTTAAGAACTTTGCTTCAGGATGAGAACAGAAATCGCTCAGCAGCAGCAGGAGGCCCCATTAGCTAAAGTGGTGTCTCAGGTTAAGAACAGTTTCAGGTTAAGAACGGACCTCCAGAACGAATTAAGTTCTTAACTCGAGGTACCACTCGTGTGTGTGTGTGTGTGTGTGTGTGTGTGTATGAGTGCATATAAACTTTGTGTGGCATGAGGAATTTTGTACAGATTGTTTTCCCCCTTTCTTTTCTTTTTTGCAGTGTCACCAATTTGGTCCAATATTTCCTGTAAGCCCTGCAATAAACTTCGTGAGCTATGCTGAAGTCCTCTTTCCATCATATCTACTCCCTGAAGGATCATCACTGCAATTCACAGCACAAAGTTACCATCTCATATGTATGAAACAAACAACATCTGCTCAAGTCAGCTAAAAGAAAAGAAAAAGCTCAATATACCACTTCTTGAGTCAAAAAGTTCAATTCTAGAGCAATCAAGTCACAGATGAATAGGAAGCTGAAAGGTGTCTTCAAGAGAGAGATGCTTGTCAGTAAACAAAGCAGCCAAGAATCTGCAATCATACGGGAACCATAAATTTAGGAAGTCTAGAATCAAAACTCAAGCTAGTGAACTACTATGAATTGTGAGTGCTCAGCTGTCAAGGGCCTTTTCTGGTAGGGATGAGAAGTGGAGTGTGCAACACAAACATATGTCATTGACAAGATATTGGGAACTCAAAATCATCCACAATTTCCTGAGAGAATACAACAGTCTCTCGGCATCATTGGTATTTATGAACATATTTTTCATTCCCTCTAATGCAGAATTCAGGTAGGCACATGCTGATCAACTTGGGAGGTAAAACAGGGACACCGAGGAACAATACAAAGGTATACAGAAATACTTATCTGTAAAATTAGGTCCCAATCCCTCTCCCCAAAATGCTACTTGGTGATTACTCCACATGCTTTGCATAAGGCCCCCAGCACACGGTGGACTGAACTCAAAACGCTGGCTTGTGTTTGTTCTCCTCTGCAGGTGGTTGAAATCGTGCAAGTCAAATGTGTGTAAATGAGGAATTACTGTATACAGTATATAATATACAGTGGTGCCTCGCAAGATGAAATTAATTCGTTCTGCGAGTTTTTTCGTCTT